CGCCCCGCCCGCCTTGTTGTACCCTCGCGTCTCCACTTTGAGAGCAAATTAAAAATCATGTCAGCGAATGCTGGAGGGTAATTAACCACGTGCACCTGTGTTGTTTTAGCGAGGTTTACCTGACATTAGCCGTGTGAAAGGTCAGTGTTCACAGAGTCAGGACAAACACAGGTATGATGAGGAACAGTGGCGTAATGTTACCACATGGTCTCTGTGATTGAGGTTAACGTAGTCTTTGGACATGGACTCTTACTGTACTTAATTTCGGTTTAGAATATTTATACATTTTTTAAAGAAAAAATCGAGCTATAAAAACATGTATCGTTAGAGAGTCTCACAAATAGCATAACAAAACCACAATGCCATTATTCAGTTGATTTTATAAAGTCATGAAATTGTGATGATTTTAACAAGTTGTTGAACAGAAAATAATGCCGTCTTGAAGTACTACAGGTGCTTAAAAGTTGTAAACTTTCAATGCATTAAAATCAATTAATGGACAGCTTACTCTCGGCACAGTTCAAACCTCCGGCGCTGGTTAGCATGTTTTTCTGAGGCTTTAGATTTCTTTCTATAACAGTGGAGGTTGATCGCTGTTGCATTAGACTGTGGCGCCCATTCAGTTAAAGTAGGTGGAAGAAGTGGACACTAGTTAACGGTGTAACCATCACTAGCCTGGTCATCATTAGCGTCCCAGAGCGAACAGCTCCACATGCTGAGCCCTACACTGTGCTTAAGGTTCGAAAACAAACTGCCCTTTTTTACAGCTTGTTCATTTTCCGTGATTGACATCTGACAGAAGAGAGAAACAACGCTAAATAAACGCGGACCGACGCGCCTTTTTTCCTCTCTCACTTTCTCTTGTTTTCGTTTCTTTAACAGTAAGTTTTCGGGTTAAGTTTTATTCAGTGGAACATCTGTGACCGGGTAGTGTGAATGAATGTTGAGGGGATTGCGTGTAGTTACGTTGTACTTTTTGTACTTTTTGTCAACATTTTTTTTCTTGTAAAAAAGAAGTAATCCAAACTATGTAATCTGGTTATCAGAAGTCGAAATGCTTACATTCACCTCGTGTGAAATAGGCACCTTTCCTTTAAACATTGAACTATTTTTTTCTCACCATCTATCACTGATTAGCCTTGGAAGTGCGAATAGTGTTTTTCAGCTTACATCAAAAGTCTTCGTTGTTCGATTTAACACTTGGCATTGGGTTCAATCTCTTCTTTTTTTGTAAAGATTTTCTGTCTGGATTTCGTGACTTTGGTGAAAATGTTTGCAATGATGGCGTGAAGCTACAGAAGCAGTGTACTGGTCTCTCTGATAAAACTCCATAAATATTGGACTCCGTAAAATGTTAATTAGGATCCAAATTAAGTTTAAATTATGCTATGGGTTAATCAAACTTCATAACTTTCTTGTGAAGTCTTAAAGCTAGTAATAAAAGTCGATAAGGACCAAGTCTTGCATGCGTACTGTTATCAAAACAACACGCGTAAAGAGGTACTCGTATTTATCCCGGGTTTTAAATTTCCCATAGCGGAAGGGAGATTTGTTAAAACACACAGTTCTATACACAAATCATGTGTCGCTGTCACCAGAGCTCTCAGTCTACCTGTCACACCACACCTGTCTCTGTGACACCGTCCACATTCTAATGTTTGTTGTGCCAAAATATTGACATAAACAAAGATATTGTCCATGGGGCGGGTGTTCGCACAGGACGCTCTGCTTGGGGAGTATCAGTTAACGGTCCAGCTTGAATGACATACTACAACAAGTCAGGTGTCCTGCAATCTATGTGACATCAACATGCTTTACCCTCTTCTACAGATCAATGCCGTAGCTATTTCCGCCAAGGAGGCTGTGCTCTCGCCCCAGTCTGTCTGTCTGACTGTCTGTCTGACTGTCTGTCCGTTCCAGCCTTTCTCAATTTTTTTTTTGTATGGAATTCCATGAAATTTCAGGGTACGTCAGAAATGGGCTTACTCAAAAGTGATAAGATACTGGTGACGATCCATTAATTAATTAATGGTTAATTATAAGTTAATTATTTGTCGTGGCGGAGGTCTAACCGCTCTGAGCGCTTTTCCAGTTTTGGATACATTTAACATAAAAGCCTCACTCATGACCACGCTACGTGTAGTATTTACCCTGTGCATGAGATATTCCAACAAACTGCACTATTTCGTTGATCTTATATGTACCAGATAGCAATCGGAGATTCAAGAAGTTTTTTTCTATATAGAAGGGCCGTAGGTAGGCAAATGATAAAAACAACCTCCCTACTTCTATCCATATGCAAAATTCAAAGGGGGGGGGGGGGATCTTGATCGCACTCTTGAACCCGCCCCCACCCCCACCCCCCAATCAACCGCCCACAAACAATTGTGATTTGGAACTTGTGGGGGTATGAAAAGCGTGGTCTTCTTAAAAGTAGCCATGTTGATGATGGCCTATAAAAATGATCTGAACACGTCATTTTTTGTCCTAAGAAAGATATAGTGGTCCTTATTCAATTGGAAGTCAAATTATAAAGAGGGTACTATTTTGTTAGTTTTGAATCAACTCCGAATACATGTATATCGTACTACATGTAGAAACAGGCCTACTCGACATAAGGTAGAAGAGAAGCGGTATTAAATGTGATGACGTGCACATCTAGATCAATTCATGCTCATTTGTAACGTAATGTATTGAGGCCGATGCGTGTATGAGAAATCTTAGAAAAAATATCATCTCTGACCGCGGAATGCCACGGACTGGTCGTAACAGAAAATTAACCCACAATGAGCAACTGAGTAAACACTACGTTGTTAATTCGCTTAAATATAAAAATATGGTCTGGTTAAGTGTCAGACGCTGGGCGTTAAGGAGTGAAACATTGGAGGCGCATTCCACTCGTCTTAATCAACCGTTTGAATGATTTTATACGTTGTCTAACGCGAAATAAACCGCCGGGTTATTTTATCAGATACCATCAAACCAAAAACTGTGATTTCTAGCCATTTTGTACACCCACTACGAACATGTTGCGAAAGCTGGGGAAATATTGAAACAATTTTAGCGGTCAATGATAAAAAATGATAAAAAATATTTGAGGTACGGACATGTTTAGGAGGGAGTTAATCTTACATTGTGTTGTGGCGTTTTCATTGAATGTAACAGAGAGACATAAGGGATGCCAAATAACCATACTCAAACCCCTCTATGAGAGAGAGAGAGAGAGAGAGAGAGAGAGGTCTTTTGTATTATGGTTTGGTGGGTTTGCGTTATTTGATTTTGGAACTTTGTCCAAAGGCCAGCTTTTCATCCATAGCTGTTCCCCATACATATAAATTGTGGCACACAAACCATCACATAGCGTTCCTGGTCGCTGCAGATGTACCCTAGCCAGTGTATTAACATGTACACACCCCTGAATAGATATTATGTGCAGTTTTCGCCAGTTATGTATAAAATATTTTGAATAAATCGTTCGGTGCATTATCGTTCAATGCGGCATTCGTGGATAATAAACTGAGCAATGAATGAATGTTTGGGGTAATTAAGCCTGTTGTCCGGTCCATTAGTGGGGTTCGGGAACGCGTGAACGGAAGGGACATTTCCTCTGGGTAAGAGCCAGTGTTTACTGTTGATAAGAGGGTTGTATGTGTGTGAAGTGTGGCGTTCCCGGCAAAACACTGTCACTTGTCACACCTGTGCTCAGCGTTCCCGTCCACACACGTGTACCCACGACGCATTAAGGACACTTTGGTGACGACTACACAATTTCTAATACTAGTAGGGTATTGTATAGGATATTCTGTGCCTAGGTTGGCCACAATTCACAGGATTACATCAAGTATGATTCACGTGTAATATATATATATATATATAATACAATTACCAGGCAGACCATGTTTGTCTTAGGTTATTATTAACTCTATCCATTTCCACTTAGAAAGGATTGAGGAAAATAGTAATTCTGTTTCATCTGACAGAATGAAGTCCTTGTCGCACACATGGTACGGCGAGATCTCTCATTTCATACACACATGAAAATACTTAGAAAACCCTTCTCTTACGTATTATATTAGTTATTGTTGGAACGGGACCTACAAACTCGCGTGCAATGATTTCCATGTAAAATATTAAGGAGGGAGGCCCGCAGAGAGCGCAAGTGTTTGGAGAGCCTTTTGCTCTCTGCAATTTAAGTGATATCCAACTGTGGGTGCTCGAGAGTTTTACTTCTCTAGTGGAGTGGAAAGTGGCGGATGGAGGTAATATTCTTTGAAAATGGTTAAAAAGGAAGTGTATGTGGTAGTATATGGAGGCTTTTATCTCGGGAATCTAATATTCCAAGGAGAAGAGAAGACGGGAAAGAACTCGAGAAAGACGGTGGAGGGAATAAAGACATCTGTAATGCAGGCGAAACCTCAGTTAAATCGTAAGAGAGGCTGCATTGAGAGGGCCCATAATAAAGATGACACCCTGAAAAAATGAGAGGAATTGAGAGAGAGAGAGAGAGAGAGAGAGAGAGAGAGGGAGAGAGAGATGGAGGAAAGTCCTGAAAATTTGAACCTAGGTTAGGTCTTTTCTCATGTATTGACCTTTTCGTACCAATAACACTGAAAATATTTTAAGTTAAAACCCTCCGCAGACGGCCAGAAAACGCGACAGGCTGCAGACGAATATAAACACAACATAGGTAAACTATGAGAGAAAACTTGTGTTGTAACAGCTCGCAACGCCATGAAATCTTATCAACCAATCAACGCCTATAAAACGAACGCTTTCTATGATATTTCTCAAGCTTACATCTCAGCTGCCCTCCGCCCTTGATAGAATAGATAAACTCCAAAATAACATCCCAATTCCCTGAAGAAATACGGAACACTTTGTTTCTTTATCCAGCTGATATTCTATCCACTTTTACACCGCTATCTAAGCTGCAAGGCGTAATTACGTTAAGCAAACTACATCAGTGAGCCTAACCCAAGTAAAAATAAAATCTAACTCACCTAATGCCGCCAAGACCTGCCTTTCGTTTTCCCTGCTGTAAGATACAGCGGCGCCGAAGATATCATCGTATTTTGCAGAGAGACGGCCGTCAAATGTTGTAAGAAACAATATATATGTCTCCCCCTCGTGGACATCCGCATAGCACATTGTTTTATCTCCAAAATTACTGATATTGTAAAAATGATGCTGCTGCAATTGCTGCATATGTTTATGAGAGTGTATGGAGTTTTCCTTCCCCATCCCCGACATAATTTTCCCACCTTTAAGGATACTTAGCAGTTTAAACTGGGCAACGTAGGTGCCTGCCCGCGTGCGACTGGCCTTGTACGTCTTGTCAGTGTACCCCGTGGCCACTACATCTGCTAACATGGCACGCTCTGGGATTCCTAGGGGCATCCATCCGTTCAGCAGGAGGATACACCCCTCCCCGTGCTGCGCAAGGATGAGCAGCGATAGCAAGGCCCAGTACATTTTATGAACAATTGTCCGGTGACGCCGGGTTATACGGGGCTGAATACGTCCTGAAATCATAATGCACCCGGGCGTAGTTAATACGTGAGCCCGCGTTCGTGTCTATCTTTCTATCAACACAGCCTGGACGTACTGTGGGTTAGCAGTGACCTGTCCGAGGTCTTGGTGCTGGGTTGAAATAGGTTTTCTCTCAGTTTCTGTTTCCAACTCTATTCTGTAATAAATGTTGCTTCCTCATTGAATGACACCGCAGTCACGGCGTTCAAGATTTTCCAACCTTCCTCTAATTTTGTAACCCTTCTCGTTGCAGTAAGCAGGCGACAATAAACCAGAGAGAGAGAAAACAAACTTGAAAGACACTGTGAGAACTCAGGAACTCGTAGCAGGAGGACCTCTGATTTGAACATCAGCCAGTTAACGTAAAACTCCCAGGCTAACCAAGCGCTGCCAGCGTGCGCACGGTAACTGGAAGCTAGCGGTGCTCACTTAGGAGTTTACTTGGTGAACCAGGCAGGTATCCGCGTCTGTTTGTGGCTCAGAGACTTAAATTCAATCATTTTTTCACTGACTCACAAAATCTGTTGCTAGTTTCGCCGAGTGACCACTTCGTATGAAAGCGTGCAGCACAGCTTGTGTGGAAGAGGGGAAGGGTTTTGCATACAATAGCTTTTCACGCGGTGCGTGTAAACTGATTGTTCCTCCGCACTGTTAACAATCTTTGCGTTCCAAGCCTCACGGGATAACCGCTACGGCCGCCCCTACACAGACGGTCAAAGTAAGCAGAAGAAAATGTATCGGATTTTCATGCGGTTTTCCTCCTCTCTGTGGATCTCAGTAAAAACACTCCAGTCTCCGCAGTTGCCTTCTAATAAAAACAATACACGCGGAATGAAATATTTGCACTGGTCTCAGTTCTTCTGAAGTAAGCCTCAAAATCAGCAGCGTTTGGTTTCTCTGTAGCGTAACCTCACGTAGCCCGCATTAAGACGCTGTGGCTGTGGTTCAGCTACCGGGATCTCACCACGTTCAGGTAAGCTAACACACGGACCAACTGCTGCCTCAGATATCAGCACACCGACCTCTATCTGCCGTCACCATTAAGGCAGGAACGAACCAGCCAACCAGAGAAGTGGACGGGATGAGAGGGAGAGAGGAGAGACGGTAAGGTGTGGGATGTCTCCCCCGTGTTCACACCTTTAACATCAACACGCCACGGGACGATATCGGGAGCACGACATTTTCATTTCCTTTATTTATTGAAATACGCAACATTAAGAAGAAGAAAGGCCCTGCTCGCCTGGCGCCGACGGTCTCGTGCGAGAAGGGAGGTCCCTCCGCGGCCGGACGTCGGTGATTGTCACCTTGTGTTTAATACCGGTCACCCGTGAGAGTGATTGTGCAGGATAAATGTTCCGCTATGCCACGGGCGATGCGGATAATAACGTAATTTTCTCCTGTCTTTTCTCTTCTTTTGATCTGGTGTTTAACACCGTTAATTTAATCCAAATATTCAGAGTCAAGAAACACCAAGCTGGTCAAAGATGGCGCGTGTGGATCAATTATAGCTCGGACTATGCGTTATTTTAACGTATTACACAATAACAAAGGCCGGGGAGCGTAAACGGCTAGCCCTCTAGACCCGCGTATTGTAACCCCGTGTCCAGCAATGTTTACAGATCCACAGCGTCCCTCAGTGGCAGACCAAGCATGGTCAGTGATTAATAGAACATAACATTGGAATTTCCTAATAATGACCAGTGGGTGTCCGATCAAAAGGTCACGTCCGGTCACTTTCTTATCAAAAGGAGGACAACCCCTATTTCACCTAACCATGTTAATTGACTGATAATGGCTTTATAATAGATAACAATGGCCAATGAACACCTCGTCCCCAAGAATCCGATGCTAGACCGTTAAACATAGGCTTCTCTCTCGTGGAGGGGTCCCCAGGGAATGATTAAGTAAATGACGCGTCCCGCCTCCTGAGAGCCGACTCCTTCTTTACGCTTAATTTGCCACCAACTAAGGTGTTTGAGTTTTGAGTCACTCGTTGGTTAATCAGGTGACAAAGACAAGGTAATTCCCTTCACTGACTGCGGCCACAAGTCTAGGCTTGAGTAGACGAAATCTTGTTTCCTTTTTAAAAACTGTCTCTGCTAATTATTCACGTACTGGTCCGTGAACCAAAAGAACAACCAATATTTATGTTCCCTGCTTTCAGTTCAATGTTTTAATTAGCGTATTAACCTGTAAAAGAAAATTATATATATCTTCCTTCAACGTGACACTGCCCACGTCTCTATTAATTGGAATTGCTTCTGACGTAGAGGTTGCATTTAGTTTGATTTTGTAAAGTTGCCAAGATAAAATATCGTGTAAGGTACAAACTTGTAAAACATACTGGGATCAGAAAGTTGCATAAGACAACTCAATGTTCTGATACTCTTTGTAGTACGTGTTAAGCAGTATTCTTCGTTCAAAGTTGAAAACAAAGCTGTTTATGACAGTGTTCAGATGACGCCTTCCATGCGTAACACCACGCGGTGGATGATCAGAAACTTCCTCAGCCTAGATAGAGCCAGCCTTGCGCGTGATTTACTGTTTTCTGGTTCTTATCCTTGCAGAGATCTTGAGTATGTCCAAAATGTTCCCGTAAAAGTAAAATATTGGGGAGCTGGCGCCCGACACTTGGTTGTTAACTTCGCGTTTATGGCCTGAACGGAAGGGGCCGGCGCGGTGAGAAGCCGGGAGCCTCCCTGCCGCGTCTCTGCTCACTATCCGTAAGAACGTCGTCCACGGATCAGTTGTTAAACCGATGATTAATCTCCATATATCACCTGAGATGGAAGACGCTGCGTCTCCGGAAAGCTTGTAGTCCCAGTGCTCCTACTGTGTACTTGAAACCGCATCTAAATGATCTCTACCTGTTTTTAGTTTTTGTTGTATAAAAAACTTTTAAAATCCCTGGAATCTTGGCCCGGGGTAGAGTAATCTGTGGCTCAGTGTACTGCCTACCTGATGCCAAACTAAGTTCACTGCTGCCTGTGATTAGATCACGAAAACTTAGACCACATGGTCAACCAATTGTGCTTAATTTGCAATGAATATGCTATGAGAAGCGCCTTATTAGCGCCCACGTGGGAAATAGTATATTTCAAAACCGAAATAATGTTACTTTATAAAAAAGGGGAAATGAATAAAGAGAATCAATAGGGAGTGTAGAAAGCGTTGTGGTGGACAGTCATACTGAAAGCGGGTCAGCAAGTAAACAGCCTTAGAACTCTTAATCTCAGTACATCGAACTGTATTGATTAACGATCCTGATTCGTGTGACTTCAAATACATTCGTTAAGAATGACCCTCCTCTTAATTAACTGATTCCCAACTAATTAACTCGTTTTCTTTGTTCAGCATTGAATTATACATGAACCTCGATAAACTCCGCGGAAAGAAGATTGCTAATTTTCGTTAAACTGGGAACTTAACACGCACGGATTGATGACAGAAAACGAATAACTGGACTAAATTGCTGTAAATCAACGGGTTATTTTTTGTACTCGGTGCCCACTTTTATTGCATGTTTTATGTTACGAGGGTGACTCGGACCATACCTGCAGAGTTAATCCTCTCCTCTTCACACAGGTTATGTCCTGCAAACGAACTCGGACACACCCGAATATAATGAAAAATAATTAAATAGATATAAATTTACACCATCCGTGGAAGAAAGTTTTGAAGGAAATCAGATGGTCTTTAAATTTTGTTAAGTCAAAAACGATTCCTGAACGCTCCTTCTTTAACATTGATGAGGCAAGATTTCATATTCCACGTAGCGAAATTAGGCACCAGGCTGCGCTGTAATTTGGCACGTGAACTACGCGTACTTTCAACAGTGCGCATTAACTTTAAAAATTCTCCCTCAAACTCAGAAAACACAAGATAAAGAAATCAGTAGTAAGAGTTTTTTTGTTTGAAAAAAAAGTAAAAATAAAAGTGGGAGAGGGGAACAAGCAAGTCATACTATCTAATGACCTGAGCTTTTTATAAAACCAGGCGTCTTTAACTGCGTTAACTGGAAACAAAAATTAAACTTACTGCTCAGTATTTATTTGAAGAAAAAAATACATCTGCACCAGTGCACTGTTCTGACATCAAAGTGAGAGGAAAGAGGTTTGTAAATAAAGAGACGGGGCAGACTGTCGTAATAAAAACAAGAAGCGCCGAAGAAGCTCCGCGTGCGGTCAGTTTTGCCGTTAGACCGGTGGTGTGTGGTAAATACTTCGAAAATATGGGTGTTAGCCGGACAGATAACGCTTTCCAGAGGAAGACTTAGGTGCAAAAGAACGCCCAGCGCAATCTAATCACGACCTTTTACAATTTTGGCAATGAAAGATGCGTCCAGTGAATCGATATCAGTCACGTTGTGCAGCATGTTGTACATGTATCTTGGACGTTTCTTAGTGGCAGACAGAATTGTTATATATTTATTAGCGTATAGCAATTTTCACTTTTTTCGCTTCATGTCATGGCGTGATTCTCATTTATTTCTGGCAGCTAATATGACATAATATGTTTTAGTAGACACAGACAGACTGTACACGGACAGACGTGTCTGGCAGATATCTTTATGCGTTTTATTTTGGTGACTGCCGTATGCGCTATGTCAGGTTTCGTGTTCGTTATTGTGGGAACAAGTAACACCTTAAGAGGTCTGCTGCTATGTGGCCGGCTGGACAGAATTAAATTTTGATCCCACATAACATAACATAACATAACATAACATAACATAACATAACATAATATAAACGAACAAACAAACACACATATAATTAAATAAAAAAAAAAAAAAAATAAATAAA